TTTTATCCATTATTTCTAGACCAATGGTTCTATGCTGATGATATTGGTATCCAGCTTCTGGATGACCAAGAGGATAAGCCATTCATATGTGAACAGTGATGTGCTTGGAAGAAGTTAAAGCAGAACTCCTTACAAGCAATTATAGCAAATCCTGATAAAATAGCTGAATATGTTACAAAAGATGAGCATACTCTTGAATTATTCTCGCGATACAAAAGTTGTTTGAAGGCGATAGATTTCCTGTATATCAGCCAAATCTGGTTGGCTGGGTATCATCATATTAAACAGAAGAAGCTTGGCTTAGATGTTGTGATCAAACACATAGATTTGGCTGACATGATTCCGATGAACCTTACTCTATACACAAATGATCTATACACTATGATTAAAAGCAAGGCTAAGGGGAAAGATACTATAAACCTCCCAGAGTTCGAGATCAAGGACATCTTTGATGAAGATGCAGATTTGATTGAAGAAAATTATACATATAACAAACAACTTGCTGAAGAAATGGAGAAAGTCTTGGAAGATGTTGAGAAACCCAGCCCAAGGACACTGGTTTTGACAAACAGGCTATATTGAATAAGATCCCTGGAGAAGATCAAAGACCTGTATTCCTCAACCAATGAAAAGAAGATAGAGTATACCGAAATAGTAGATATGGAGCAAGAACTTATCAACTCAGGCTATCGAGGAAAGATAATCCCTTTCCTGACCAGAGAGATTGAGGAGTACAGAATCATACAAGAAACCTTTGGGTACATCCTCTCAACAGCTGAGCTTAAGACTTTCACGGAACAGCGAGCTGATAGGGTAGAGAACTGGAAGAAATCTCTCTGTTACCGAGTATCTGATCTTACTTTGTATAATATCCTGCAGAGGGCAACCTCTTTGAAGATAAACCTGACTGAGAGCATTGAAAAACTTAAACAAATGGAGACTGAAATTAAGGACAAAAAGACACAGATTATAGACACCCTTCTTTGTGGCAAGATGAAGCTCGAGTTCCACCAGATCGAAGACACTGTTGATGAGTTACTGAAGAGAACCGTCGTACCCACAGAAGAGGTCTATAAGCTGATTGATATCTACCAGGTCAACCTTGCAAGAGATAAGCTGATAAACGGGTATTTAGATGAGAAAACTACAAGAATTGATTTTGATGCCTTCTCGAAATTTTACAAAGAAATCTCTAATTTGGCAGATAATGAGCACCTCATCGATCTGAAAAAGATCGCCAGGCTTGAGAAATTACACAAGTATGGTTCGAATATCTTAGTGGAGCTTGAAAAGATAGGAGATAAGGAAATGAAGAAGGCTAAAGCTCTCCTTAAAGAGATTACAGACCATAAGTTCTACTTCGAACGACTAAAGTTCTTCCTTGACAAACTAATAGTCCACCATTGCTATAACACCAAAGGGGCGGAAGATGAGATCTATGCAACTCTGTTCTACTGTAAATGCTTGATGAAAGAGCTCTCTGACCCGAACAAGAAGTTCAAGGATCTTGACAAGAAGAAAGCAGTCAGAGCTCTTAAGAAGAAACTTCAATTCACGGAAGAGAAACTTTTAGAAATTAAGGAGATGGAAGACATCCCAGAAATGGAAGAACTTATTACACAAATCAAGTCTAATGGTCTTTACACAACTGATATACATGATTTACATGAGAGGTTCAAGTATTGCAGCACCTGGTTCAAAGAGACCAAGACGAAGATATCAGAAGACCTCAAGCAGAAGTCAATGAAGGATGAGGAGGATGAGCCTGACTTTGTCGAAGAATATTACCCTCTAATGGTGTTTGATTCCTCCGAACTTAATGATTACCTTAAAGATGTGATAACCATCCCAGAATTACCTTTTGAGAAATCTCATAAGTTAGCTACTAACCTGAGAGTGTGCATCTGGACACAGGAATATAATAAGATGAATACTGAGAAAAAAGATGACATCCTCGACCTTGAGGAACTCACGTTGCTCAAGGACTTAGCAAATGGTTTTAACTTGCTTCCTAAAGACTGAGAAGACCTTGTAAAGTTGACTGAGAACTATGAAATCAATCAAATAGTTGAGAACTTCAAGAATGGAGGAAGTGAAGAGGACCTCAAACCTCTAGTACAGTATAGGAACGGTATCTATGTCAAACTTCTTGGAGACCTTAAACCCTCTCTAGCTCAAAAGAAACAAAAGGTTGCTGAGAAGTATATAAAATATGGCAAGGCATTGAATAAAATCAGAGATGTTCTGTCAAGACTTCCAACACCAAGGTCGCCTACAAAGGTCAAATCCAAGCAGAATGATGAGTGATTTGACAGGTATCAGCGCCTAGTAGAGGTACTTAATGAAGCCGAGGTAGCCAATGTTCCATCCAATGCATACCTCTTTTCCTACCTAAAAGAGTCCCTCATAGAGTTTGAGAACTGGAAGAAGTCAGTCGACCGGTTTAGAAGACTCAAGAAAAGATACGAAGGAATTGCAGATAAGGTACTTGTTTCCAAAGGAGATTATCTAGACGATGAGAAAGCAAAATCTTTGATATTAATACCTTTCAGCAATCTCATCATCCAAGAATCAGGTGCTGTGGTCGAGGTCAGAGAAGCAATAGACCAAGTCCATGAATGGCTAGAAGAAGCAGAGGAAATCTCTCAGAAATATGAAGAGAATGAGGAGATTTCTGAAATAAAAGAGGATGAAGCTAACAAGATTCTAGAGGTACTCAGCAAAATGGCAAAACTTCCCTTGTTCTCAAAAGAAAAGAAAGAAGTCCTTCATAACATCTACTGCCTTGGCTGGATGGTCAACATGCAGAAAGTCATTTCTGAGGCTGACGATGATAAGAAGGAGACCTACCAGAAATGGGCTGAGTATGAATCAAACATAAAGAATTACACCAAGAAGCAGTTCTTAGTAAAGAGTCAGATTTATACCAAGTTCAACACTACTTTTACTGAAGCTACCAAATTCCAGGATATTTTCAACAAGAAGACTAAGACTAGTCGAGTCAAGCTGGATGAGGTTGATAAAGTATCTAAAGAGATGGATGAGTGCCTTGTTGACCTAAGTCAGGAGATAACAACTCTTAGAGACTCTGTGCCTACTTTCAAGGAGTTGCAGGAGTCACTGAAGTCACTCGAAGGAACAAAGCCAGAGATTACTGCCTATACTGACCTACTGAGGCAGTTTAGAGACTCTTATTTCCATATTTCAGAGGAAGAGACTGTCATCCTTAAGGTGAAGAAAGCTTATGAAGAGAACAAGAAGCGAGTAAAGAACTTCTTAATCATCTTAATGACTAAGAACAGTGATAGAAGGATCGAACTTTCCAAAATAGAGTCCTTGATTGAGCAATACCAGGATCTCAAGGTAGTCTTCGCAGAAGGAGAGAAGGTCATTGAAGAGAAAGAGATAAACCACAAGCTCTTCAAAGAAATTAAGAAAAATCTTGAGAATTCTGAAGAGCTCGAATACGACAAAATCATCGAACTTGAGGAGAAATTCAAAAACATGAAGATAAGATTTGAGGGTGAGGAGAAGCTCTTGAAAACTATCGAGAAGGTCAAACCCAGAAGTTTCCTCAACCAGTTCGCTAGATGGAAGAAGGAAAAAGGCGAAATCGTCAACCAATACTCTGTTATGGAAGCACAGAAGTTATACAAGGACTCTGATGGAGACCAGAACATGGATACTGAAGACCATCCTGCTCTTACAGATCTTGAAAAATATATCGAAGCCAAAATAGATGCTATAAATGCCTTCGAGGACTACATTGTATGCAAAGAAGATATGGAAAAGTCTCACTCGAATGATCCCATCAACTACGATGTATATTATAACTTAAGGCTGAAGGACCTGAAGGGATCCAAACTCCGTGAACTCGCTAAAAAGCGTCAAGTCAAGAAGAAAGAAAAGGACGAAGAGGATCTAAAGAAGATGGACCCTGAAGAATATAGACGCATGAAGAAAAGAGAAAGACTCAAGCGTCAAAATAAGAACAAGACCGATGTCTTCGTGGATAAGGGAAATGACGAGGACTGGGATGCACGCTGCATTAAATATGCAGAACCAGACATCAAGATCGAAGATGACGCAACTGAGGAGAGTAATAGCCAACAGGAGACGCCTAAAAAGCCTACTGCTGTTAAGAAGAATATTAAGTCTAGCAAAAAGTTGATATTGAACAAGAACAGTAAGAAGTCTGAAAAGAAAGAGCCCAAGAAGATAACCAAGAAGGCAGCAGCAAAGCAATCTGAGGCGAAGCCTGCAAAGAAGATTGTTAAGAAGGATCTGAAGGAACTCATCAAGGGCTCGGTCAAGCCCGACAAAAAGGAGAAGATTGATGTCAAAGCCAAGTTCTTACAGAAAATGAAAGATTCGAATAATAAGAATATGGAACTTATTTCAAAACTGAAGAAGGCTAAAAGCACTCAGGAGAGCAGCAAGACTTCACAAACAAAATGTGAGACTCCTTCTCCAAAGGGATCAAAGAAGGTCACTGAGAATAAAGATGATGGGATCAAGGAAGAATCTGAGGAAGAGTCAAAGGATGAATCAGAGGATGAATCAGAGGATAAATCAGAGGAAGAACAAGAAGAAAAGCCAAAGAAGATAGTCAAGAAGAAGACTATACCTAAGGGCAAACAGCCTGCAAAGCCAGCAAAAGCTGCTTCTAAGACAGCAAAAAAGCCTAAAAAGACAGCTGTGAAGGCAACAAAAGAGGATCCTCCTGAGAAGACAGTTTCTAGCTCCAAGTTTGGCATTAAAAAGGGGAAGTTTAGCTTATCCAGCAAGGTAAAGCAGAAGGCTAAGACATCGATATTATCCGGCAAGAAGAGGAAACTAGGCGGGTTGGCTGCCTCTTTGAACAAAATAAATAAGAGTTAATAATTTAGCATATTGATTAAACTAATTGAAGTTATTGCTTTTCATGCTTGTTTTGGGGGTTTAGAACCTGATTTTAAGGTATAAAATACTTTACAAATCAAAAGCCACCAAATAATGAGTCAAAATAGTGAGAGTGGAAGCGATTGGGAGGATTACGATATGAATGAAGATGATGGGACTAAGAAAACCCCAACTTCAGATCCAGAAGTAGGTACAGAAAATTCAGTACAAAAATCAGACGATTCCGAAAGTGAAGGAGATCTGGACACAACTTTGTCAGGCGTTACTACTCTTAAAAATACCACGAAGGAGATCTTAAAAAGGCAATTTGTGAAATTTCAAGAAGAAAAGAAGATAGAAAAAGAAAAGAGGAAGGAAGAACAAAAGCAGAAACTTCTTGAGAATGACATCAAACTACAAAAGCAGAAATATGAGAAAAGAACAATAAAAAAGCGGAAGAGGCTAATGTTGCAGGAGAATATTGTGGCTTCTACCAAGGAGGCATCCAGAGCTGCTATAAGCTCATGCTTTGCCCCTATCCCTTCGTTCAGCGGCAAGAGGAGCCTCATCTCGAAGATTGCAGAGGATCTAGAGGACACTATTTTTGAGGCAAACAATTCATCTACTAAAGGAAAGTACTTTACCTTGCTTGATAACCTGAAAGCAAATATTGCTGCTCTATCTAAATTCTTCCATGTTTCTGACTGAATAGCCAAGGAAGAGATTCCTTATGAGAAGCTCAAGCTTGACCATTCAGAATTTGTGGAGAAGTGCACAATTCTGGAGGCAAGATTAGCACCGAATGAACAGAAGCCTAAGAAACTTCCAGAGAAACATATTGAGGAAAAGTCTAAAGTACAAGAGAAAGTGCATGTTAAGGAGAGAAGACCAACTTTTCTTCCAAATGAATGCCCCAGAACACGGATGGATATGCTGAAACTTAGGAAAAGGTTACAGATATTAGCGCCTGAGGCTGCTGAAGATAGCTACACAGACACAAATCCAACAGAAGAAATCTCTTCAAAGAACCTTGAAAAAGGTTCTCAAAAGGACTTTAAGAAAGGTTCCTCCAAGGGTTCATCCCAAGGCTCTCAGAAGGATTCCAAAGGCACGAGTGAGCAAGTCCTAATCGAGCCGATTCAAAAATGTATCGAAGAGATTCGTGCTGTGAAAACCCAACATAACAGGTAAGTTTAGTATTTGTTAGTCCTAGTGATAAACCCGAAGAGCCAAGAAGCTCTGTGTCATTGAGAAGAACCCAGGCTATCCCAGGCTCCTTGCTTAGGGTTGGATCATACTCTATCACCCATTCTAGAGGGTACTTTGGAGCTGAAATGGTAGCTTACTCAACCTCAGATATCAACTTATTCCAGAGTTTACCGAAAATTCCCAGGAAATTGACCATGAGCGGGGTCATTTCAGTCAAAGAGGTTGAAAAATATCTGATACAAGTAAGAATTTAGGTATTATTTTAGTAGGTTGGATCATCATTCCCAATGGTTATGGGATGGATGGAGCACAATACTCCTACTGATCAGGACTTTTACATTAAGTCTAAGACTAGCTACTGTCATCTCTGGTCAGTCCTATCACCAAAAAGGAAATGTGGAGTTCTTGAAATATTCACAGGCTTCAAGCTATATGTTATTCCTATGGATGGGCACAATAAGCAATTTTTCAATGCCTTTCAACTAAAGCTGTACACCCATCAAAAAGGCGAGTTGGTTGAGAGAGGTTATCCACTTGACACAGATAAGAGGCGATGCTTCGCATTCTTAGGCTTGATAAAATCTAAATTTTACAACAGGACTAAATTTCTCGATCCTAAAGTACTATGCGAGGCTAAACAGGAGGAAGAGACTGAGGTTCATGACCAAGAAAAGCTTCTCCTAGCACAAGATGCTGAATTTATCAGTGATATAGTGGAAGATTTTGAAGCAAAGATTATTCCGTATGAAGATCTGTACATCCGACTTGAAAATTGCCCAGATCAGGACCGACTCAGCAAAGCTTTAAATGAAGTGGGGTATAGCACCAAGAGGAAATTTGAACAATTCATAGAAGCAATGGTAAGCTACAGAGATATCAAGAACAGTTCTATTTGTCCTAAATTACTAAAAGAGAAGATTGTGAACCCTGAGACCAAATCTGACCTGATTTCTCCACTTTCTAAGTCATAAATAAATGTTTCAATATCTGCTTTATTTAATGGGGTTTTGGGGTTTTGGGGTTTTGGGG